GGCATATCCTTGTGCATTGCGTCTTTTTCCAAGTTTCCGTCTGACACTTCCTCTGGCACTGATCAATTCTTCAACAAATGTGTGATCTAAAATTTAGCGACAATTATACTTACCCACGTATTGAGCACATCGCTCAACTGGACAGGTTTGCAACCCAGTGTAGCCATAGGATTACACGTCATACGCCTATGGATGAAAATTGGAGAGCAAACGATTCTGTTTAACAGCGCAAGTGATCGGTTGCAGGCCAGAACAACATTTACATAGAAAAGATTCCGGTATGGCATAACGTGCTTATATACGTTACTGCATTTGCATTGGCTATCGGCTTCAACCCTGAAGCAACTGTGTGGTTGAACAGGTATCACAACATTATAGCACTTGTTGCAACTCACTCAAGTGCTCCTTCCCAATGTCAAGGCCAAAGTTGATCACATTTGAACTTCGCAGGTTTGCTTGTAGGTAGTTGATCCTGCCTCGTGGGCGTCCCAGGTTCAACACCTCGAATATAAATTCATTTGTTTATTTTATGATCAATACCCGCCAACGAAAACTACTTGACAATGTAACACGACTTTTCATCTGCAGGCGCCAGACGTTTTGCCTAACGGTCGCACCCATTTATCCCAGACAACAAGCCAGCATAAGTAAGTAGGATTGTTCGCGCAGTTCCCAAAGCTGGTTCACCCATCTAACGGTTAGCTTTCCTTGGCAACCAACGTGACACACAACTTAGGAACCTGTGGTCTATCAGTGTGCCTTCAACCACTACCTCTTGCCCCTGATAAGCTGTAGGTGGCAAAAGCGGAGTTCGAACACAGGCTCAAACATGGTGTTAACCGCTCATGGGAAAGCCAGTGGGTCTCACCGCCACCCATAGTACCAAAGAAGACAGGCGACCATTGACCGTGTGGCGCGTCTCGGTCACCGAACAGCTGCAGCGGTCTTGGACAGCACTTAATACGACACATGTATAATTTTGCTAGCACCATAAGCAGTAAGTCCATGTTTAATAAAATCGACCTAACGTGAGCTTACTAACGGATACCTGTCGAAGCATGAGAAATCACCAATACCGCCATCATTACACGTGCTGGACAATTAAAATTTCTGAAGATGCCTTCTGGCATACGGAGATTAGCACAACCCTTTCAAAGGCTTATACGCTATATTAAACGCGGTTTAGATTTCTTGAATCATTGGTTGCTGATCATGCCAAAAAGGTGTGCTTTGCTTTGGCGAGAATAAAATCTTTTTTATTTATTTAGTTGGACGGTAATTTGTAGCAAGCGCCTCCAACGCAGCACACCTGAAGCACCGACAACTGCTTATGTCACGTCGATGTGACCATGGAATTGCCTTTAACCCCCTAAGTGTATTAGCCAAATCACCGGTTAATTTTTGGGACATCGGACTTTTGCATCCGGTATTGATGCCCTCAGCGAAAAATGCTTACCTTGTACCTACATCTTTCAAACAAGTCAGACGACTCCTTAACATAGTAAATTACTACCGTCGCTTCATTACAAGTATGCGCAAATCTAATGCAGCCTCGAACTGTGTTGCTAGGTTGCAGATAGCGTAACTTCGTTTTCCCCAATGCCGCTTTATTATTTGTCCTAGAACAAAATAGTATTTACATACTCCGCACTTGTTGGCAGGCTCAACAACACGCTCCCTGTTTCTCTGGTAACGGTCACTTCGAGTGAAGCGGTAGGAGCAGCCTTTCAGCAGTTCGTCAAAGGGTCTTAGAAATTACTAGTTTTAAAACACAGTGTTGCAAAGAGATCTCTGTTCGGCAGTTCACATCAGGCAAATACAACTACAGGACTGAAAAATGCATTAGTTAACTGGTGTAAGCAACAATGGGGACGGATGGGGCGATTTGAACAGTTTTAGCATGTTCATTTGATGCTCGAACCGATTTAATCAGGTGACATCGTGATCGGGCTAACCGACAGCTAAATAACTTGTGTAAACAGAAAAGGCAAAATTACTAACCAAATAAAATTAGTTAATTACGCAAATATATAGCACCTGGTTAAACGAGATATTTCGGGGAACCTTATCATCAGGGCCATGGCAAAGTCAAGGGTTGCAAAAGCACCCTATGCTTGCATAGCTCTGGTTGTGTTAGCCGGATCGCGATGGCTTCGGCTGTCTGCAGGAGGCGTTTCCTTAGCCCTTTCGGGTATCGCCTCGGTACGGCGTAATAGACGTTGAAAGCATCTTTTGTCAAAATTTGATGCCCACTAAGAGTCAGATGTTCCATAATCGAGCTGTTGCTACTTCTGTGCATGCCTCTCCGCAATGACCCTGGACAATGTTCAGCCATCCGTACCGACAGACGCCTGGTCGTTTGCCCGAGGTACTTTGCACCACAGGTGCAAGTAAACTGGTAAACAGTGTAAGATTCGGACGACACTGGCAGTCTGTCTTTAAGACGTTGAGCTATGAAGGGAGCGGTCTCTGCAACTACGTGCGGTTGGGCTGCCGGGTAGGTTCTTGCTACGGCATTAGAAAGTCTTCTGTTCAGGAGATCGAAGGCGATCTCTTCCCTTCGAAACGTTTGCAACCAGCCGCAACCCATTGTAGCACCTTCGGCAGAGAATTACTCACCGTTTCTTTAGCCACTCTCTATCTTCTGCCTTCAAGCTTGCATAGAGAGTTCATAGATTTCACCGCGCACAAACGTTTAGTTTTTACTGTAGGTTTATCATCCGACAAGAGTGATCCGTCACTTAAACTATGTCTCAGGGTTCACTCCGGATATACGGCATGCCTCAAACGTGCAAAACCTTGTCGCAGACGCAAAGTTCAGAATTAATTCAATCACAACTCGGCACGGTATCGACCTAGTAACAGTGGCCGCTGAACAACAGACCGCTCCGAAGGTCGAGCAACTTCGCACACCCAGTTTCCTCCGCATCCAAACAGTTCCGCTACCCACCTATACAACTTCTTTTGCGAAGCCACGTGCGTCGCGCATGCTTCTTTACGAACCTACACAGACGCTTGTCCATAGCCAAAAACCCTTTGTACTGCATGAGCTACAAAAGCGTACGCGTGTATTCACACGAGTTTAAGGTGTCAAGCGATTCTCGACTCCATCAGCTGAGCGACCACTCAGTCGCCCAGTAGCACTAAGAATATGAGGCATCGCTCGCCATGGGAAGCGTGAATCGGTATTTATTAGTCGATTAAAAGCTGCCCTTGTCGACAACGACACTGCTTCTACAATCATGCCTGCTCCACCGCCAACAACGCATAGACCTAACAGTTCAACGACGTCAGTTAAAATCCATTCAGCATCGTCCAGTGCTTTAAGAACGACTATGTATGACCAACATGTATAATTACTTCGACGTTTTGTGAGACCAATACATTTTTCTGTTTAGTTTCCCCTTACTCGTTATCGATAGGAAGGACAATAGGAAAATGCTTTGAAACCACCGAAAAAGCGTAAAACGATTTGTAAACCGTGAATATATCTGGTGGTTTAAGATTAGCACTGCTTAATCGCATGCACTATTGTCACTACCGTTCTCCGTTTGCTTTCCATGTACGCCTGTCAAGTCCTTTGCACTTTTATGATGGTGGCGGACGCCTCAAGTTGTGCACTGCATATCCAAGTCGAAATGCAACCTTTTACGAACCATTTTTGTAAATCTTTCCTGTCGACATCGAAAGGGGGACAAGCGTGGGAGTCCCCTAGGATCCAATTGCCTGTTTCTTCCCAAGCAGTTGTGTCACGTTTCACCAAGGTCTCGCACAAGGCTGAGCCACGACGTATAGTTCCCATGTAGCTCGAAGGGCTGTTTACAGCTTTCCCTCTGTTTTTGGTTGTGTATAGTCAGGGGACTTCCCCGGAGTACCTGAGTAAGTTGCGTAAATTATCATATAAAAATGTACCTCGCTGTATACTTACAGGTTATTTGTAGCATGCTGGTATGTGCTTTGCATTGGTTTGTCTGACTTAACGCACATGCAACAGACCCACACGGCGCCAAGGTTGGATTAAACATGGTCCTCCCTCGTACGGTCTCACACACCTTAGCTAGCTCACCACGTGTGCTCACGCAACTTTAGCCAATATATTGGAACAGCGTGTACCACAGTGTGCTTAAGCCACGTTGCATTCGTAGCTTCTCCTTCAGCACTAGGAACCTTACTCTCCTATAGTCTGTTAACTTAAGCCGGCCAATCTCACTAAATCAGCAAGCTCCCACATAACAGCCGTGGCCCACTATGCCTATGGACGCTCACAGGCTGTAAGCACCTAATGTACAGCGTCTTCGGTTCTAGGTGGTTATATGGAGTGTTTAGAGGCTACCTACCGCATAAAATCGCTCACGCTCTTTGCTGTTAAGCGAAAATCTGTGGTAGAATATTTTATGGCTTGAATGCATGCCACTGTCTGCACTAACTCGGGTATGCACGTGTTCGCGCGACAGAACGTGTCAATTAACTTATTTTATAAATATATACCTATACCCGCGTAAATACATTCCACTGTTAAACAAAGGATTACACATGACTCTTGAGGATACACAACTAGTTACTTAATATTTGTGGTCTTAGTTGATTGTGTGGTACAAAACACAAGTTGTTTAACTAACAACGGTGCACTATTCGCATCAACTTGCTAGGTCATAAGATCTTGGGTAAATACCGCGTGGTTTGTTAGCACCCCGTCCACACTAAGAAACGTGAACACTCACAATCGGCGGGAACATGATTTGGTGATCAAAGTTCGGCAGTACAACTGTACAGCACAAAAGTGTTCCATAACCACGATTTAGATGAAGAACAAACACAAACCAATAGATGGGAAAGGAAACATTAACTGAAAGTAGGCAAATTTGTATCCTGCGTTTACAAACATTTGAATCCATCAGAAGAACACCCTTTAATTACAGAAGTGCAAAAAATATACAAAAATAGCTTAATAATGATGCAACTAAAGCGTAGTGCGCATAGCTTACATACATTTAATAAAAGCAGTAAACGCAAAATAAATTTCCTCCAATGATGAGTTGCACCTCAGACCTACCCTCCTCATAGTCCCTAGTTCAATTGTGAGTGCTCCAGTCCACTGCGCTTACCATCTCCCACACAACCCCATGCGCAAGCCACTTTTGCAGAGTTATAAAACATTGGGAATTATTGCAATCAATGTGTTATTTTGTGTAAGCTTTGCGCAAAAGCCAGTTTTCTAACTGAATTTTAGCTTTCCGGTTCAGCCCTCGTTGTGTTAGGCGTATTTTCAGTGATTGACAATGCGAACATATCTGAGCTGTTTGGTACAACATTGTATACATCCGGAGTATATACGTCAATATTTTTCGGAATAATCGTTTTCGTGGCGGCTATCTTTGGTAGCGTGGCGTTTGTAAAATTTAACTATTTTTTGATGGTTACAGTACGTAACAAGGCATTTTCATGACATTCGCATTTAGTACATAGCAATTATGTGCATAAGCACTGTGTTTTTGTTCATATCTAGCGTCATCTTGTTTGCATTCAAGGGATCCGTAAGTCAAGTTATTGAAAGCGCAACAATTTAGATTGGTATTGCCGCGAAGTCAATAATGACGCAAAGTTTGAAAATACAATACGGAAGATATAAAATTGTTACAGAGGCGTGGAATGCCGCACAAAGTAGACTACGTTGCTGCGGTGTAGACGACCTTGGTTGGCATGTATATAATGACTCATGGTGGGATGCCTTCATTAATAGAGATATATATGAAAGCAATTCAAAAATACCCCGTAAGTTGCTCTTCATTCTATCCTTTTCAAAGGTACCAGCCCATTTTATAAGTTCGTTCCAGAATCATGCTGTTCAACTCTTATCGATGGATTGACAGGGTGGCCTACGAATAATTATCGGGACTTATTCAGATGCCAAAATTGGCAATATGGTCCTCCTAACTACCTCCATGGGCCACACAATGATGCGATATACTACGCAGTAAAATATTCTATATGATTAAAATAACATACATTACACACGTAGGGTTGCTTCGAGAGTATCAAGGAATACATCGGCCAATTTGGACTGGCATTGGGAGCCTTAACCCTTTTTATGTTCTTCATGATGGTAAGCTACTTGATTTTAATGTATTTGGTTTTCTGAGAGCTTTATTTAGCGTAGACTATGATGCAAAATGTAAACAGAGTAATTTTGAGAAAACGTTTCTCAGTAGTTAACGTGGTATAGCTTCAAATTTCTAATTGCTTATCATCTACAAGCACCTTACGTAATGCATATTATACGCAACTGGTAGTTGGTGTCACTGCTAGTCGGATTCCAGATTAGTCAAAATAAGAATTGGTAGTACAAAATCTACCAATGCATCTGCAATATGAGTTGTTAGTGTTTTCACATTTTACCACTTTAGTGTCGTTGTTTTGGGAGGTTATCTCATTGGCTTTCAAAACATCGGTAAGGGGATATCTGAATATTTCAAATATGGGTAATAGGATGTATGCAAAATCAGGAGCAGCGGGGTTTCTGTCTAATGATTGCATACTCTTCTCGGAATGCTGCATAGAAAGAACTGTTATTGCAAGATGTGGGTCTAACTGTGTGTATGATAACATATGCAATCTTGGAAGTGGAATGCAAAATTCAAAGGAAAAATTAAACATACGTAATAGTAACTGAGAAACGTTCTTTGGGAGAGAATACCCAAGAATATTGTGAAGTGAATGACAAGATCAACTGTAAATTGCTCTCAATAAATAACTTTGCTTAAAACGAAACTATGTACAATAAATGCTATCCACACAGACAGATAGTTGTATACTGTTTAGCGGGAGTTCAGGTTGCGGATCCAACATGCAGATCAAGTAGCAGGGAAACTTGCATTGTTACTGAAACGATTTCCTGTTTTCTTAGCTATAAAAGCGATGGCGTTGAGCCTACTAGTTAGGAAGAATAACAACAAAACAGCGCAATTGGAGATCAAGTGTAGACCGGACTAGCGCAGGAGCTAAAGTATGGCAGCAGTCGACGCCAACAATTCAATTTAACATGCAGTACAACGTTCCGCACAGGTCTCCTAGATGTAAATTGAAATAGCAATTTTAGTGAGCACTGTTCACAGGCAAACCGGAAATCTCCAGACTGCTACATAGCCCTCCTCAGAATTGACTGAGTCAGCAGTCCTTTGATCTACCTGATGACTGTCAGTTGCGGACCAGCCTTCTGCGAGACCAAGTTGTGAAACCGGATGCAGCAGTTGGTGGAGAATTATGCAATCGGACCTTAAAGGGCTCTCACCAGTGTCTTCCTCACGGTGTCGAAACGGAAAATATCTTTGTGGGAGACATTTAATAAAGTTGACGTGGTAGTTGTGCAGCAAGTTCATTGAGACTCGTTGGAGTAAAAGACCCAGCAAAACGTGAAAGCAAGGCGCAACAAACCAAGTAGGGTGGATAAGAGGTAAAATGGAAGTAAGCGACGTAAAAGCATAGCCGTACACAAAAGCGCGCAAACCAAAAACGTGCAAAGCTGTTTTTAGGTTTTCAAAAGGTCATTCTTTTTTGTTAGTATCAAACGTTTTGCCTGGGTTTCTGGATTAGGGAAAACATTTATATGAGCATGAAAATGTATGAAGCGCGGTGCTGGCTTTGATGGTGCGGGACGAGAAGGTTCTTGTTGCACCGAAGAGTCAGAGTCGTCGCGAAACACTGGCCCGAGTAGCCTGAGGTCCATCATACAAGTTTTACCATTGTTGCCAATGATACATTTCTTGTAGCTTTCGCGTACTACACGGTACGGGCCAGAATATGGAGATTGAAGTAGCTGACGCACGCCGTTAGTGCAAGTAAACACGTCGGTGCAAATAGTTAAGCATTGCTTTACCTTTGTACGCAAGCTCTGTGTTCTGGGTTACACAGGCTGAAGTTGTCATAGGATGAGATAGGCGAGCCGCGTAGTCGCCATAGTCAAAGGCTGTTGCTGCTTTTAGTGAGACAAATTCACTACGTTAGCGTTGTGTACGTCCAAAGACTGGCAAAGATGGAGTGGCGTGCAAGTCCTCTTTAATCTTTTCCTTATCCCTAAGCGAACGAGCGGAAGTTCTTCGACCCAGAAGGTGCCAGACTGGACACAGAGTGATGCCTTGCGTTGCGGATGAAACATCTTTACCACCCGTTAGCTGCTTGGTGGTATGCGGTGGCTCGGCTATGCTGAAAATCAATTACGTTGAGAAATTTACTAAATGATCCTGCGAAGTATGATCTTCGATCAGTAATCCCAATAACTAGGCAATCAAACTGAGCTTCCCAACACTCGAGAAAAGCGAGTGCGACTTCTCAGATGAGTAGCCGGCTATTGGAATCGCTTTTGGCTAACGAATAAATTGGTCAACTCAGATGTGTGGGTACATATGGCTTTTGTATGATGGCAGAGGTCCAACGAGGTCGCCATGGACGTGTGAGTAACACGGGTCAGGAACTGGAGGGACACTGAGTGGATTTTCGGTGTGTCTGTACACCTTGGCGTGATGACACGTCTAACATCCGCATGCCCAAATGTTTACATCGCGGTTGACGTTAGACCATACAAATGGTTCAGTTACGAACTTCTGCGAAGCATATATGCCGGGATGAGACAAGTTGTGTAAAGCGTTGAAAACAAGCCGGCGCATCGAATTAGGAACTACGGGTCGGTGAGATATTTGTCAGACACCAAGCAGAATAGTTCCCTCAGATGAAGCGAGTGAAACTTACGTTGTTACAGTGATGTGTTGCGTCTAGGCACTGCATCTCTGGATCGGCTTGTTAGGCGGTAGCTATGGCGGCTAGGTTGATGTTGGACCTAAGAGCCAAGCTAATCTGGGGGGTTCGCGACAAAGCGTCTGCGACATGATTAAGAGCACCTGAGACATGTTGTACGTCTGTGGTGAACTGAGAGACGTAGTATAGGTGTCTAGGTTCGCTTGGAGCATACTTGGCTGTTGCATAATTGATCGTGTAGATCAATGGCTTTTGGACGGTAAAAATGGTAAAACATCGACCTACAAGGTAGTGACTACAATGTCTGATACCTAGATAAATAGCGGGCAGCTCTCCACCGAAGGTGCTGTAACGCGATTCGGAATGTTACAAACGTTTGGAAATGAAACCATTAAGTAGTTATTGATGTTCGATGACTCCTTAACAAGTTAAACTAACGACAGTGTCTGCTGCACCAGTTGTCAAAAAGTGTGATACTGATTGGTCTGGGTGGGCGAGAAGCGCTATGTTGGAGATAGCTTGTTTAAGCTTTTCAAAATCCAATTTGGCATCGTCTGTAAATTGGAAAGTGTGTTGGTTACCGCGGAGCAAGTTGGTCATTTGCTGCATAATGCTCGCGCAGTGTGAGCTGAAAGTTTGCTAGTAGTTGGCCACGCCAACTAATCTGCGTAGCTGTAGGAAGGAACCAGGAGCAGGATAGTCCTTAAGGGCCTGGATTTTGTCTGCCAGGGCTTCAATGCTAGAGGTGGATATACTGTTGTCATGGAAGTCGATGGAGCTTTGGCCAAGCTTACATTTAACGGGGTTGACGGTAACCCAATGTTCCGTCAAACGTTGAAAAAGTGTCTTAAGGTGCTGAAGGTGTTCATCGTCAGAAAACCTGACGATGAGAATGTCATCTAGATAGAGATAAACACCTTCAGGTCCTCGTATTACCGCATGAAAGGAATATTGAATAGCTTGAGCTGTGTTGCTGAGGCCGAAAGCCATTCTGAGACCAAACGGCGTGATGAATGCTATTTTAGCAATGTCGTCTGGCGCCACAAGTACTTGGTGATAGGCAGGGACTAGAGCTATTTTGCTGAAAATGGACTTGCTAGCTGTAGCAGGTCAAGTCTTGCATGTGCGCGATTGGATAATTGTCCGGGACAGTAACTTTGTTGAGCATCTTATAGTCACAACAGAGACGCCAGCCATTGGATTTATTTTGCACCATATGTAACGGCAAAGCCCATAGACTTTTGGACGGGCGGATTATTCCAAGTTAGAGTATGTGCTTGAATTCCGCTTTATCTGCTGGGAGTTTGTCCGGGGCGAGTCCGTAAGGGCGGGTCGAAATTGGTGGGCCCTTAGACGCGATATAGTCCTTGAAGTTTGCTGTCACAAGTGGCAAATCATTCTGAGTGCAAACGAACTTAGCATGCTGGTTGTAAAGTTCTAC